CGTTTGCGCATGAGCAGTGTTAATCGTACGACTTTTGACATACGGAAATGCCACCAACCTTGCGAGAATCGTACGATCGACTGAAGCTTCCGAACATGCAGGAAAGACAAAAGTCCTAGGATTGTACAGTACTGGCGGTTGCACACTACCCATACACCTTACGATTGTCGTACGAAAAGTCGAACGCATACGATAATCGTAAGGTGTATGGGCACCTTTAGAAATGTTTAGTATTGACAATCTATAAACATATACCTATAGATAATTACAGGCATTTTATCCTTTGCATACCTTGTGTTTCCTTTCTTCCCTATTCTTCTCACAGTGGCTATTTATACTAAGGGCAGATTAATCCATCTCCCTTTACTTCCTGGAATTCTGACACATGTGACTAGGATATGTGACCATGCACATCATCTCTGGGGAGGAATATGCCTTTGAGATTATGCTCTGCAGATGTAACCTTCCCAGGATGCAATGCTTGGGCACGATTACATCATTTGTGAACCAGGACGTAGAAAACAAAAAATTATAAGTAAAATGATATGTTTAACTAATAAATATAATACGATTTTATATTAGCACGCAGAGCTGCATGCTGATGTGATTTTTAGTGAGAGTGGGTAAAGGTCCATTTTAAAGGCATCTTCACTTTACAACACTTTTTAAAAGTACCTAAAAATGATTTGACACTACTGTACATTAGTGCCCCACACTCCTTTTGCAGTACATTCTTTGGGATTGCCCAAATTCAGGGTTGACTTGGGCCAATTTATTCAGATGCCAATTAACCTAGCAGTTTTCTTATGGGCTGTAAGAGGAAAGTCACATAAACACATGCAGGGGGATTCATCCAAACTGGAGCAGGCAGAATCTGGAGCAGCTGTGCATGGCAACCAATCAGCATCTCTCTTTAATTTTGAAATCTTAACAGAAGAAACTGAAGAGAGATGCTAATTGGTTGCCCTGAGCAACTGCTCCAGATTTTGTCTGCTCCAGTATTGATAAATTCCCCCCATGGAGATCATACAATCTCCATGAAGTATTCATTCGGCATTATGCCCGGGGCCCTATTTCTGTAAATCAAAATGTGCTACCCATACTACCCCCTAGACTATTAGACATATTATTCACACATGCATGTGAATAGGCTCAGTGTTGCCTTTTTTCTTTTTACTTCTTGTCCCAATACAGCATGTTACATGCCCCTTGCTGGGAACATGTTGGTTAACTTTGTAGCAGAGTATTAGGAATGTGTGTTCTAGTTCTCAGACCCCGTCAGATGAATTAGTCACAGAATAAGGCTGGCCATACACTGATCTTTTTCATTCAACCCATGGGCTGAAGGAAAAAAATAGAGCAGATTCCTTCATCACCACAAACAGCGTGTTGATTGAGGAATCCCACTATTTACATTGTATTCTGACAGGTGCCGCCAACACCTTTCAGAATACCAGACCAGAGCGGGCAGCTCCTTGGCTGCCGGCTCTGATCGATCCAAGATTTTCCAACCGGCTCCTTCGATCGGCTGATTGAGGGATGCTGATCGAAAGGGTGCCGACAGTGGCACACACTGTCCGAATGTCAGCTAGTTCCTTAAAAACCATCCAAAATTCAAAATGTATGGGCACCTTAAGGCTACATTCACATGGGGCGTTCCGAGATAGCTGCGACAAGAACCTAGATTCCTGCAGCAGGAATCCCGGGTGTCCTTGTTCAGATGCAGCCGCTGTACCCATTGAACTTGACAGGGTGACCGCATCTGTTTGCATAGTCCGCAAGTAATCGTACATAATAAAGCTACATGCGGTTTGGGACAGATGATTGTCACTGAACACATTTATACTGCGTCCAGGTACCATCATATTTCCTAAACCACAGGTAATCATATAATGTACGATTACATGTGGACTGCTGCAGACAGTTGTGGCCGCTGTTCCTTTTGAAGTTAATGACAGGGTGTCAGCAGCATCTGAACGGGGACAGCTAGGGTTCCTGCCGCAGGAATCCATATATGTTCTGGCTGCAGAAATAATAGAGTGCAGTGTAAGTCCCCGTGTGAATGACACATTATTGTCCAGTGACCTGAGGCATATTGAAACTTAGGCCGTTTCGCACAGCTGGTCCGATTGGGTCCGCCTGCCAGTTTTTCAGGCAGACCCGATTAAATGCCCAATGCAAGTCTATGGGCAGATGTGTGTAAATGGATGGGCGTCCATTTACCCCACCTCTGGCCAGTTACGGGAAAACAAACAGAACACTGTTCTGTGGATTCCCAATAGACGGCAGTTACAGTTCTTTCTTCTATCGCAAGGTGGAGGAAAAAAACTGTACGGACACAGATGTCACAGCGGTGACATCCGCTCCATGCTGCTCTGATCAGGAGAGGCTCCCCTTTTGATCGTCACGTGTGAAAGGGGCCGTAAGCTGGCCATTAACTATATTTTTTTGTTCAACCTGCGTCACCTTTAGTCTGAGCATCTAAGCTTCAAAAAAAAAAACCTCTGGTCATGAATGGGTAAAGACCCTCTAAATCACACAGACACAGGAAAGGCCAGACCTTTGCAAAAAGAAAACCTTTCTCTGCACCTAAAACAAAAGTTTGCTTGGGGACCGGTTGTTGGAGGGACAATTTCGCTCCTTTGTTTCCTCATTCAATGGACCGGACAGCCCTGGCTGGGAGCCGACTGAGTTCGACTCCCTCCTTCTGGCCTCTATGCCCCCATCCCACGTAGGCTCCCTTATCTACTCCATCCTCTCCCTCTTAGCCTCCCCTACTTTACCTAACTATACGTCGATCTAGGAATGCCAACTGGACCTCACCTTTACATCTGCTGACTGGGAGAAGTCATTTGGCCCTCACGCATTCCCTTTCCATCGCTAACAGGGCCCATGAGAAGAATTTTAAAATACTCACTAGATGGTACAGATGTCCTACGGTCCTCCACCGGTATTATCCTGCAGTGTCCGATTCCTGTTGGAGATGTGGCACATCCCCAGGAAATATGACTCATATTTGGTGGATCTGTCCTCAGCTTCAAGGATTCTGGCGGAACAGTAATTGCTAGCGACCCCAAAATTCTGTTACTGTCCATGATCCTTGGATTGCTCAAGGTGGGGAAGAAGGGTCTTCTGCGACACTTTCTCAGCGGCCAGGACTGTTATCCCGTGCCACTGGCGTACATCGGTGACCCCCATCCTTGCGGAGTGGGTTGTGGAGATGGACCGTATTGCTGACCTAGAAGGCCTCTTGGCAGGAGAACGTGATGCTGGACACAAGTATGTTCACACATGGTCCACCTGGATTGTTTTCAGAACCTCCGACGGATTCCTTGCTGCCCTCTCACTTTAATATGCCTCCCCGAGGCCGCTGTTGGGATGCCTGGCAGGGGGTAGGAGATTGTCATCCTGTTACTTGGCCCTTTCTCAGCTCAACTTGGTCTCTTTACAACCTCCTCACCTTAAGTCCCTCTCCCTCTCGCCCCCCCTTCTTACTTTGCTGCAAGTGATGCCAGTCATCCGTCTGTTGAGCGTTACAGCCTACGGTGCTCAAAATATCCCTTTGCACGGTATCCCCCCCCCCCAACATGTTGCACTGGGATGGGGCACTACAGACGGCCCTTGGTTTATACCGGTACATAGGATTTTTGCTATGCATTGAACTACATGCACTGTCACTTAGATAGTACAATGCTGCTAAATGTTCTGTTGACGATGTCCACAAGCCTACTTGTCTACATACTTCCTCGTCTGTGATTTTTTTGTTGTATGTTTTATCTTTCATTTTTGTCAAGGTGAAATGGTCTATTTGCCTTTTTGTACCGCATTTGAAATCTTTAATAAACTCAGATTGAACTAAAACAAAAGTTTGCCCCATGGACACTATAGACAAGGAACCCAAATATCAAGAGACACGGAATCAGTACTACTCCCCTTGCACACATATATTTTTTTGTGACAGGCATTGCATAGTAACACGCATCCTTTGTAACACACATTTGGATGCATTGTTGAATTTTTATTGATCAGTTGAAGTTTTAAGCAATACAACGTGAAACAAAAATCTTATCAGAGGTAAAACATTCTAAAACAGGAATAGCGTTTGCGCATTGGGGAAAGGTGGAGCAAAAAACAAAAAGACGGGGCCGGGAGTCTGCATAGCTCAGCAACACAAGTCAGTAAGAATTACATCCTGCCACTTCACCCTATGTATCAGTATTGGAGCAGGACTTATGTCAGACAATATTGCCAGTCAGGCTGGAAGACTGAGCCAGACAAATAGCCTCATAATGGACGATTAACACTGTATCATAATACCATCCTGGAGGCCAATAAGTAGATGTGATTTCAGAACGAGAAGAACAAAAAACAAAAAAAAGAACCTTTATTAAACACCAAAGATTTGCTTCCTATAGCCAAGTGCAAGTATATTGACTTGTGTCATTCTTCTTTTTACTATCAAAAAAGGACAATTGGCCAAACTGAGGTTTAACCACAAATTTGGTCCCCACAAACAGGCAATTAGAGAATATTAAGAGGTTAGTGGCATGGCAGGCACTATAGCACTTTTAGAATAAAAAAAACCCAACAGAACTTAGTAATAAGTAAACTGCCCAGAAAATATAAATGTGCTTCTCCATCTTTATATCTGCTCAGTAACAGACCTATAATATGTAACAGATAGAGAGACAGACGCATTTATATCATACATTGCCAGACAATCCAATCAAGGGGTTAGTGGGCAGATTTAGCCATAGGCATAATTTTTTTCAGAAACAAGTGCTGTTTATTTTTAGATGCCTCAATTTCCTGGCTCATGGGACGTGTCCTCCTCTGGTTATTGTAAGAACCAATTTATGAGCCTCTAAAGGCAAACTGCTTGGACCACCCCTTTGTACAGATCTGTAATCTATACAGGCCTATGTCATACCAAAATGGTCCACGTAAAGGGCAATTTCGGTTACTACCAACAGTGGAATGAAGTGAGAGATTGGAAGCACTGTTAAAGAAAACATGGATGGAGAACGTGACTTATGGATGGAGAGAGTCAACCACGAAAATAACAGTCGACAACGGTTTATGGAATGCTAGTACAGGAATGCGTTAAAGGCTAAATGAATCCAAAAATTCTGCTCCCGGGAACCCAACATGCACAGAACATCAGACTAAATAATCAACTAATGAACGTGGCATCAGATCAAACAGATTTTGCTGATGAAAAACACATCTGCAAAGCATTATAAAGTTCAGGCACAGGTCTGGTATGAGACGTTACACTATAAGAGGATTCATCCGTGATAATGGAACACTAAAACTTCCCCTTGTGAAACATACGATTTGACTGCCAGGCTGTTGCAAGTTTATGGTTTTTTTTTTGCTGCAGAGGTTACCAGCCCTTCTTGTTAACAGTACAGGGGAGCAGACGGAGATGTGACTGCTGAGGTCTGAAGGAAGATTGAATGTCCAGTTGTGTTAAATCGCTTCACACTATTATTTAAGGCAGATATCGCAAGGGGCTGTCAGTATCCTGCAAGTTCTTTGCAGCCCAGCAGCACCAAAAATCTCCCTTTAAACTCTTATACCATAACAAAATGGGCCACCAAGATTTGGTTGATGAGGAATACTCCTTTAAAGCTCCTCTAGTGAGCCATTTAAATTACGGGAAAAAAAAAATCATATATATTAAAAAAAACAAAAAACATAAAAAGAAGACTTTAAGATTTGTAGTTTGAAGTTAGCCACATGAGGCCCTCATAGAGTCCCTCTCCGGTGTTGGCACAAGACGGCTGGACGTACCAGTTCCTGTCCCTGATACGGGTAAGTCCAAGCTTTTCCTGGATTTCGTGTGGCTTCATGGCGTCCACCAGGTCCTGTTTGTTGGCGAAAATGAGAATGATGGCATCCCGCATTTCGCGGTCGTTAATTATGCGGTGCAGCTCTTGCCGGGCCTCATCAATACGATCTCGGTCAGCACAGTCTACCACAAATATAAGGCCCTGTGTGCCCGTGTAATAGTGCCGCCAGAGGGGACGGATCTTGTCCTGGCCGCCAACGTCCCACACATTGAACTTGACATTCTTGTAGGTCACGGTTTCCACGTTGAAGCCTACAGTGGGAATGGTGGTGACAGACTGGCCTAATTTTAACTTGTACAAAATGGTGGTCTTCCCAGCTGCGTCTAGACCTAGCATCAATATTCGCATCTCTTTGTTCCCAAACACTCTGGATAGCATATGCCCCATGATGGAGGCTTAGAGTCCATACACATAGGCTGGTGAGGAAGAAAAGGACAGTCAGGTTCAGTCAATTATTTTTCAAAAACAACATTTCAATATATTGAAGCTCTATGTGCACTTTAAAGTGAACGAAAACTCATTAAATTCAATATCTTAAATACCTTTACCTGGAAAGAAAAATGGTCACATATTGGTCACATGACTGAATACCAGTCAGGGATAGGAAAAATCCAGCCCTCCAGCTATGCTGGAACCTTAAATCCCATTGGACATTGCAAGACTGACAGCCACAGGCTTGATACCCAGAGGCAGATGCGTTATGGGATTTGCAAATTGACCACAGCTGGAAGGCCGGAGTTTGCCTATCCCTGACCTAAGCAGTATGATCTGTGCCCGAATGGCCAACTCAACAAATCTTAACTACCATGTGTCCTCACTCTCTATTTAAAAAGGGAAATATTAGGGATCTGTGTAGACCCCAAATATTTCCCCAAAGTACCCCAACAGTAAAGTAAAAAATTGAAAAAATAATTTAAAAAAAAGGTAATTTTCTGTTCCTGCCTGACAAATGTTGTTGCATCCCTAGTATATATAGTGGGGTATACATAGCATAGGGAGGCTGGCTGTTCTATTTGCATTGTATGAAAATATTGTTATTCAGTGGCTGTGTAAATAGAATCTAATGAGAGAGCACCACTTGTTCTCCCAACCAAGACAAGGAATCCTCTCAGACTTAGTTCTACATTCAAAACGTGAGATGCAATTCTACAGTCACACCGCTGCCGAGCATTACCTGCATTACATATGCAAAGATTTATAAGAAAGCCAGCAGCAGTGGGAAGCAGCGAGCACAATGGGTTCCCTGTATGGAGAGGGCAGGAGACATTTCTTTGCAGCTCCATGAAAAGATAGTGACCTTATGTGAGCAAGTTTGCATCTCTTGTTTACATGACTCGCAAAGCTTTCCCATTGTTGTAATCTGACCAGGTCAGGCATGTAAACAGCTTCTGGATATTGTCAAAAAGGAAGAAGGTGCCATCGGAAAATGATTGTAGTCCCCGGATCTCTCAATACATTTTTGTAGCATGTAACCATAACTAGGAAGCCGTCTTCTGTCACTGGAACACCGGCAATCAGGAAGCCAGGCGACGGGTCATGATCCGCCGCCCGTCTTTCTGATATTCGGGGTACAGTGCACCGGTACTCGGTATCAGAGAGTACCAGAAAAACACAAAATATCGGGACTTGATCCCTGAAAAACCAGTATCAGTGCATCCCTACTGATAAGGTCATCATTCTTCCCTCTCCTCTTGTCTGATTGGTTCATAGAGCTGACTTTCTTTCTCCCAGTCTGAGAGCTGCTGGGGGGATCCGCACAACTAATAACAGCAAATGTTTTTTTTTTTTCTTCTCCGTAGAATGGTGCAACGCTGTGAATAAAATGTGTCTTTGTGACATTTCAATAAAGTTGTAAAGAAATAAGTAAACAGCACGATGTGTTGTAATCGATGCATCAGCACTTCTTACTACCGGGTGTACACCAACAGCCAGTCCTAATAAAAGACCGGTCACTGCTTGTCTCTCTCCTTGTGCAGGAGGTCTGGTCTTGTCTCCACCCCCTCCTATAATAAAGACCGGGCACTGGTGTTCTCTCTCCTTGTGCAGGAGGACTGGTCTTGCCTCCGCCCCTTCTGTAGTTTTCGACAGGCAGTGGGTGGAGCTTGCCAAGTCCCTCCCACAGCTCTGCTCTCTGTGCAGCACAGTGATGATGTCACTGCCATTTGTAGCATTAATTTAAACTACCACCAAAGAGTTTATATGGAAACAATGAAGTGACGGAAGGTTTTGGTAATAAGCGGCACCAATCAATTTGGAAATGTTTGCAATGGAAAGGTTGTAATGACGTAAAATACTGCCGTGTGTGTGTATAGCCAGCCTAAATTCTACCCACAATCCACTGACCACCATAAGCTAAAAATAGGACATGTCACCCACTGCGACAAACATCCACTCTGCCACACCTACTGACAGATATGTAGACTAGATGTACACCTGGCAATATGGTGCAACTACAATGACGCTGGAAACAACGACAAGGCTGTTCAGTTTAGGCTATAAAATGGTACAAGGTTTTATGTAATGCAATGTCAGGCTGATCGCTTTACACGGTGATTGATGTTGTCTCTACAACAGATTTATATGCTCCACTTATTTAATAAAAAGTGCCATTAACAGCCTGGGTACCCATGCGAGACACGGCTTTATTTGCTTTTAAGTATACTTCTGTCAACTCCACACAATGGATTATCCCTTTTAACACTTGATGTTCCAGGAGATCACTAGGCAGATAATTCAGCTTCTTCCTCAGAGATTTGCCATACAATGGAATATACACAACAAGGGATGGACATAGGGAAGGAAATAGACCACTCCACTGAAGACCATAGAGCAGGGGCGGGCACATGAATATGGAGTTCAGGACCCAGTCTGTCCAATCCAGGAGCCAACTCCATTGCCAACAACTTCATACCAGACCCGTCCTATCCCGTCCTTTCATTCTTCATACCTGACCAGTCCTATCCCATCCTCTCATTCTTCATACCTGACCCGTCCTATCCCATCCTCTCATTCTTCATACCAGACCCGTCCTCTCATTCTTCATACCAGACCCGTCCTATCCCATCCTCTCATTCTTCATACCAGACCCGTCCTCTCATTCTTCATACCAGACCCGTCCTATCCCATCCTCTCATTCTTCATACCAGACCCGTCCTATCCCGTCCTCTCATTCTTCATACCAGACCCGTCCTATCCCATCCTCTCATTCCAGACCCGTCCTATCCCATCCTCTCATTCATCATACCAGACCCGTCCTATCCCATCCTCTCATTCTTCATACCTGACCAGTCCTATCCCACCCTCCCGTCCTATCATTCATCATCTCATTCTTCATACCAGACCCGTCCTATCCCATCCTCTCATTCTTCATGCCTAACCCGTCCTATGCCATCCTCTCATTCTTCATACCTAACCCGTCCTATCCCATCCTCTCATTCTTCATACCTGACACGTCCTATCCCATCCTCTCATTCTTCATACCAGACCCGTCCTATCTCATCCTCTCATTCTTCATACCAGACCCGTCCTATCCCATCCTCTCATTCTTCATACCTAACCCGTCCTATCATTCTTCATCTCATTCTTCATACCAGACCGGTCCTATCCCATCCTCTCATTCTTCATACCAGACCGGTCCTATCCCGCCCTCTCATTCTTTATACCAGACTCGTCCTATCCCATCCTCTCATTCTTTATACCAGACTCGTCCTATCCCGCCCTCTCATTCTTCATACCAGACCCGTCCTCTCATTCTTTATACCAGACCCGTCCTATCCCGTCCTCTCATTCTTTATACCAGACTCGTCCTATCCCATCCTCTCATTCTTCATACCAGACCCGTCCTATCATTCTTCATACCAGACCCGTCCTCTCATTCTTCATACCAGACCCGTCCTATCCCATCCTCTCATTCTTTATACCAGACCCGTCCTATCCCATCCTCTCATTTTTCATACCTGACCCGTTCTATCCCATCCTCTCATTCTTCATACCAGACCTATCTCATTATGTTACTCTTCCCACTAAAAGATAAAATAACTCTATACTGTCCGCTTCCATGAATTCTCAAGCCATTCAACAACGAGACCTACACCACCTTCTGTTATTCTATTCATCTATGACACCTGACCACTCAACAGTGTATCTATACCTGACCTGATCTGTACTGTCCACCATTTTTCTTGTCCCACACCATACTTGGACCTTACCTACCCCAACACCAATTTCTGACCTGTCTATTCCATACTATATTCCACTTCCTTCCACACCTGTCCGTTCCATACTATATTCCCCTTCCACCCCTGTCCGTTCCATACTATATTCCCCTTCCACCCCTGTCCGTTCCATACTATATTCCCCTTCCACCCCTGTCCGTTCCATACTATATTCCCCTTCCACCCCTGTCCGTTCCATACTATATTCCCCTTCCACCCCTGTCCGTTCCATACTATATTCCCCTTCCACCCCTGTCCGTTCCATACTATATTCCCCTTCCACCCCTGTCCGTTCCATACTATATTCCCCTTCCACCCCTGTCCGTTCCATACTATATTCCCCTTCCACCCCTGTCCGTTCCATACTATATTCCCCTTCCACCCCTGTCCGTTCCATACTATATTCCCCTTCCACCCCTGTCCGTTCCATACTATATTCCCCTTCCACCCCTGTCCGTTCCATACTATATTCCCCTTCCACCCCTGTCCGTTCCATACTATATTCCCCTTCCACCCCTGTCCGTTCCATACTATATTCCCCTTCCACCCCTGTCCGTTCCATACTATATTCCCCTTCCACCCCTGTCCGTTCCATACTATATTCCCCTTCCACCCCTGTCCGTTCCATACTATATTCCCCTTCCACCCCTGTCCGTTCCATACTATATTCCCCTTCCACCCCTGTCCGTTCCATACTATATTCCCCTTCCACCCCTGTCCGTTCCATACTATATTCCCCTTCCACCCCTGTCCGTTCCATACTATATTCCCCTTCCACCCCTGTCCGTTCCATACTATATTCCCCTTCCACCCCTGTCCGTTCCATACTATATTCCCCTTCCACCCCTGTCCGTTCCATACTATATTCCCCTTCCACCCCTGTCCGTTCCATACTATATTCCCCTTCCACCCCTGTCCGTTCCATACTATATTCCCCTTCCACCCCTGTCCGTTCCATACTATATTCCCCTTCCACCCCTGTCCGTTCCATACTATATTCCCCTTCCACCCCTGTCCGTTCCATACTATATTCCCCTTCCACCCCTGTCCGTTCCATACTATATTCCCCTTCCACCCCTGTCCGTTCCATACTATATTCCCCTTCCACCCCTGTCCGTTCCATACTATATTCCCCTTCCACCCCTGTCCGTTCCATACTATATTCCCCTTCCACCCCTGTCCGTTCCATACTATATTCCCCTTCCACCCCTGTCCGTTCCATACTATATTCCCCTTCCACCCCTGTCCGTTCCATACTATATTCCCCTTCCACCCCTGTCCGTTCCATACTATATTCCCCTTCCACCCCTGTCCGTTCCATACTATATTCCCCTTCCACCCCTGTCCGTTCCATACTATATTCCCCTTCCACCCCTGTCCGTTCCATACTATATTCCCCTTCCACCCCTGTCCGTTCCATACTATATTCCCCTTCCACCCCTGTCCGTTCCATACTATATTCCCCTTCCACCCCTGTCCGTTCCATACTATATTCCCCTTCCACCCCTGTCCGTTCCATACTATATTCCCCTTCCACCCCTGTCCGTTCCATACTATATTCCCCTTCCACCCCTGTCCGTTCCATACTATATTCCCCTTCCACCCCTGTCCGTTCCATACTATATTCCCCTTCCACCCCTGTCCGTTCCATACTATATTCCCCTTCCACCCCTGTCCGTTCCATACTATATTCCCCTTCCACCCCTGTCCGTTCCATACTATATTCCCCTTCCACCCCTGTCCGTTCCATACTATATTCCCCTTCCACCCCTGTCCGTTCCATACTATATTCCCCTTCCCCACCTGTCCGTTCCATACTATATTCCCCTTCCACACCTGTCCATATCATACAATATTCCCTTTTCCACACCAGGAAACCAAGTGATGAGGGAGCATGGAGCCAGCTTCCTGGTCAATCAGGAAGCCGGAAGGGAGCGTTTAAGCCAGCCCCTTGCTCCCTGGTGACGAGGGAGAAAGGAGCTGGCTTCCCAGCCAATCAGGAACTGGGCGGCGTGTAATGACTCGCCCCCTGGCTTCCTAAAACCGGAAGTTCTGGCACCGATACTGGTATCTGTATCAGTGCAACCAATACACACACACGTAACATTTGATTACATTATTTGAGTGCTCTAATGTATCTAGTTGACAAAAGCGGTGCAACTAATAAATTAAATGCTAATAAAGTAACAGTTAGCGAATATAATATTTGTTGACAGTTAAGGGTCTATTTATAAATGTTTTCACCCAAGATTCACACATTTTTCTAATTAAATTCAATTAGAAAATAGTGTAAATCCTGGGTGAAACTCATGTGAATCTTGACTAAAAACATTAATAAATAGACCCATTAAAATGTATATATAGCTAAAACCTGCCTCCTTTTTGTTCTGGACACAGTAGGGAAGGGGTATTATTTGGTGTCTGTACACCATTGGGGAAATTTCCCTTCACTTGTCCCACATACCCAACAGGATGAAGGAGGACATATCTACAGAGTGAGGGGAATTCCCCTCTGTGAAGCAGGTTTCCCCGTTGGAAGATTTCCCCTACCTCTTGTTCTGGGGATAACTCTAATATATTGGATTTCTCTTTTCTTTCTTGGTGACAACAGTCACATAGAGGAGGGTGCATCCCACCAGTGGGGTCACAGACAGTAATGGAGACCTGACAGACGGTTTAACCCTTTCCAATCTATCCAAAACTAAAACAAGATAAACTTTAACTATTCTCAGCAATGTCGGGGTGGGTTGGGATTACACTGTGAAGTGGCCCACATAGAGGGCAATCCAAGGACTCCAGAAGGTATCACAAATGGGACTATCCGGGCTGATGATTAAAGTGACTCTCAAGAAAAAAACAAACACTTTTTTTTATAGTTTGGACAAAAAGGAGAAAGTTTAGGGTTTTCATTCTCTGTGTCCCCATTGGACATATATCCTCTCTATGTAAACTGGTGACCAGTGATAAGTGTGGGCTTGGTAGGAATTCAGCCAAAACTGTCAGC